TATCAAGTGTTCAGTAATGTTATCACGTATTCAATAATGTCAAATTTTCTCAATGTTCAGATGTCGCCACGTAGGGAACCCGATCATCCGGCTCCTACTCAGGCTACTGTAATCGCACAGTTCCACGACTACCACGCTGAAAAGTTCTCAGGGCAGGGAGATCCCCGCATCGTTGATGAATGGATTCAGGGCTTGGAATTTATCTTTGAGGTTATGGACTGCCCCGATAGATATCGCGTAATCTGCGCTCAGCTTCACCTCACTGGTGACGCTCGGCTCTGGTGGAATGCCTACTGGAGCATGCGTCCCGGTGAAAAGGCGGGTTGTACGTGGGATATGCTCAAGGAGCTTGTCCGTGAAAAGTACTACCCCTCCTATTATCGGGCAGAGATGGAGCATCAGTTCTTAGCGCTCCAGCAGGGCACTCGTACGGTTGATTAGTACGAGCGAGAGTTTACTAGACTTGCAGCTTTCATACCGGACCTGGTTCGCACGGAAGCTCAGAGAGCGCAGCGGTTCATCGACGGTAACACCCCGCTTTTCCATAAATATCAGAGTGCATTTTTCGCAAAACTTTTCTTAATAATACATATTTATTTGCGAAATCCTTTTCGGGATGCTACTAAAAACCATTCATTGCTTAAGAAATCCGTTACCATTATTTAAATTTAACCTTGAAGAATAAACGGATTAACTTAGATCAACTTGCATGCAACACTTTATAAAAATCTGTCTTATAAATCAGTTTAAAAATAAAAACTGACATGCTAATTGAAATATCGGATGTCCCCGAAGGGACAAAAATTTGGACCATTTCTCGATTTATGCGTGTCATCCTTGCGCAGGGGCCATGCTAATCTTCTCTGTATCGTTCCAATTTTATCAGATGTCCCCGCTTTACCCAGCAGTCCGTCACAACATCGTGGGACACGGGACTCAGACCTACGCTCGTGCAGTTTCTATCGCCCAGGAGGTGGACGCTAGCATCAGGAGGGAGGCCGTCCATGATCGTGCCCAGCCATCCGCCCCAGTTCAGTCATTCGCAGCTCCACCAGCTCTACCAGCTCCTCAGTCGGCAAAGGAGAAGAAGAGGAAGGGGAAGGGCGCACCGA